ACATGTATGTCAACTCATGTTGAAAGTATATATTTTATAAATTAGTGTAAGTAAGCAAAACAAACCAATGTTTATACCCAGTTTTAAACAAGATCTAATCGTCACATAGTCTCAAGACAGAGGGGAAAGAAGTGTTTAGCTTTGTGACCAAAACAGCAAACATAAATACAAGCCACCGATTCATAAGCCATGTTGAGCACCAGCGTGATACGCCACCAAACCCACGTGGATACACACGAAGTTGACTAATCTCCGTCTTGAGGAAAAAGATACTAAGAACCAAAATGACTTAAAAAGAAAAAAAACACAACCAACCTAACAAACAAGGAGCTGAGCCTTAAATGAGCTGGCTGAATGGGAAACTCGCTATTTTACCTTCTGAATCTTGACTGATATTGGCTGATGGTGATCACTGTTTAGACACTATTTAGACCATGTCCCAACTAAAAATGAAATGAAACTGATGCTCACAGCACGACTGAACAGTGAAGTTACTCATTTTTTAAAGTTTTGTTTTGTTTTGCAGGGGGAGGTAATTAGGTTTTTATTTTTTAATCTTAAACGGAGGGACTGAGGATTGAACCCAGGACCTCGTGTGTGCTAAGCATGCGCTCTACCACTCAGCTACACCCTCCCCCACCTTTTTCATGTTTTGCTTGTTTGCCTTGCCAAACAGAACCAGCTGTGAGTTTAACAATTTCTGTCTTACTTGAGATTCTTTTATGTCAAAAAGTAAGTTATTCAAGTTTCTATTTTTCACAAATATATTTTTAATTCACAAAGAACTCATTTCATGAAGGACCCAAAGCTAGCTAATGCTGGACCACACAGATTAGGTACAACCTAAAATTTAGTTTTTTAAAAAACTGAGAAAACTTAGGTACAATTGACAAATCTGCTAAATATTCTTCCCTGCTCAGGACCCTTGGGTGTGGGTGTAGCTACTTCCATATTACACATATGACGTCAGCTAAACCAGGCAGACAAACTGCTCTAAAAACATTCTTACAGCTGTTGGCGCCTGCCAAGTCAGACTGTGAAGAAAAAGGGATTAATTCTGCAATTCACAGACAAGACTCTAGACCAGGACACGAGACTCTAGTAGCTTCATCTTGTTTATTAACATGATTGAAACATTTTGCCCATAAAACTTTTGTCTGTGACTATCCTAGCAACAAAATTTTACTCAAAATATTTCACTGTGAGGTGGTGTTGCAACTCGAATGTAGTTTTTATTACTGTGTTGACTTCCATAAAGCAAATCTTAAAATGGCAGATTCAGTGACCAAAAAGTGATTGAAAAGAGCTTCCGCCTCCCCATGCCAATCCTTGAGCCTGCTTGGGTCCAGCTGAGGTCTGGGCCCCGGACATAGACTGAAGGAGGAAGGAAAGAGGGTAACTCCTGCCTAACTGACCGGTACAGGCAAATCGGACATTACAAACCGACACAGCACAGAAGCCACGGGGAGACGAGAGGCGTGGATCAGGTGAAATGGACAGCGCACATCCGTCCTCTTTCCCGCGATGTTATCCCCAGGGTGCCTGGACTGGATGAATTACAAAATCGACCCCTGTTTCCATCCTTCCCATCTACCTGCCCGCCATCCTGCCGTAGCTTTGGGAGAGAGCCCGAGCTTTTCATAGTCTACTGATTTATTTTTGATGAATAAAATATAATAACACGCTTCTCTCTCTTGGTCTGCTGAAGTGTGTGTGTGTGGATATGTGTGCGTTTCTCAGTTTGGGAGTGTGGATTTGGGCTAGTAAAATACAAGTCATTTCTCCCTGTATTTCTCTACCTTTTTGCTGTAGTTGGTTTACGGAGCCTCACTTTTTACTTAATTAGAACAGTGAGTTCTTTTATGCTTTCTGAGAAGCTGGAGCATGAGACTAGAATGTTGGGGAAAGGTTGGCCAAGCCGGGTCAGGAAGAACAGCGTCTCTGAGCTCTAGTTCTGGGGTTCAGGCACTTCAGTAAGAGACTTTCCTCCCCTGTTCCCACGAACATTCAAGGAGAATGAAAGCAAGAAGGCCCAGAGGCTGCCTGGGTTTGGGGAGGGGCAGCTAGCAGCTCAACCCCCACCCCCTCCCACTCCCCGGGGCCATTCCTTGAGGGTCTCCCTCTGGCCCGTTCTTACACATATCAGCCACTTTCATGAAAGTGGGAGGGAGTTTTTTTATTGGTAGCAGGAAATGAGGCTCTGACCCATCTTGAAGTAATCACTCTAGCCCATGCCTTTCTCATAACCTCTGAGCTCTCGGGCTGAGCTTTGTAGGAAGGGGCAGGACCACAGAGTGGAAGTTGGGCCATCCTGGGGCACTACTTCAAACTCTGAGTCATCTTTCTGCTGTTGGCCTTGGCTGGGTCACTGCCACCGTGTCCCGCCCTGGACTGAGAGAGGGACTCTGTCCCCTAGCAAACAAAGAAGGGAACAGGACAGGGAATGGACAATTCTACCCAAAAGGGGATTCGCTTTTCCTTGTATTAAAGAGAAGGTATTTTAACACTATGCTTGTAATTCATCAGGATAAGATCTGCCCCATTTCATTCCTAGAAATCTACTTCTCTGCGCCTGCTCTTTACCTTAGCCCAGCCCACTCTCCCTTCCAACCCTTCCGCCCCCACACTGAATGCCAGAGCCAGCCCGGTCCTCCCAGGGGCTGTGGACTAGACAGGGCTTGACCACAGAGCCCAGCAGAGTCCGAGTGGACCGAAGAGACAAAAGACATCTGGTCTTTTTCAGATCTGCTCGCTCGGATCTTCAGAGTAAACGCTATCCACAAACTCCATAGCCTTGAAAATGTGTGTTCCCCGGGGAAGCCAGCTCCCTGTTTCCGTTTGTTTCATTTCCTGGCTTATAACTGTCTTGCCTAGACAAAGGCTCTTTCTTCTGTCTTTCTCTCCAGCACTAGTGTCATCTTGAGCACTTTCTGGGTCTTTGCTTCCCACAAAGCAGTCCTTTCTTGGATTCAGAGGGTCACCTTCTGGGATTTGCTCCAAGTTGTTGAGATCTCTAGCTGTTGATGTCTCAGGGAAACCTAGCGACAGCCTTCCTCACCACCACATCCTCCCAGGACTGGCAAGCACAATTCCATATGCAGGGAGCACCTGGGACAGACATAATTTAAGAGAAAGATGCCAGGTAAAGGCTGAAAATCATGAGTCACCTGGTCAGTGTCATGGGGAACAAAGGGTGTGATGACCTAAAGGTGAGGGAAACATTATCCTTTTGCCAGCCTTTATATCTGCTGTGTGACTTTGGACCAGTCAGTTAATTCAGTGGCTCTCAGCTCCCTCATCTTTAAAAGAAATGTGGGATCAATTAATCTCTAAAAGTTTTTTTCGGTTTTTAATTCCATGATCCTTAGCCAAACAATGAGACCCAAGAATAGGACCTTACTTTTGTCCTTTCGAGATGATTTTCACAATCCAAGAGGAATAACCCCCACACCCCACCCCAATGCGACTCTTCCGTTGAGTTTAGTGTCTTTTCCTGGAGGCCACTGAAGGATGCTACAGAGGTGAAATGTGTGGCGAAGAGCATCGTCCCTGGTGTCAGATCCCACCTGACCCCTCCTGGGTCAATAGCTGGGACTAGATTTTGATAAATTAGCTTACTGTTCAGGGACCATTCCTCAAAAACCCCAAAACCCAAGAGCCAGAGACTGGATGAGAGACACAGGGCACAAGAGAGTAATTTCCTTTTGGTTTTCCAAGCAGGACACGAATGAGGCCTGAATGACTAGGACAGAGTCTGTCAAAACTATTTGCAAGGCAGCAGAGGAAGGTAGAAAAGTGGGGAGAAAAGGGCTGAAAGAGTTTAGTGGCTCTTGAAACTCCCCCGAGATCTCTGTTCTGTGAACCCATGTCCCTGCCGGGCGGAATTCCTCAGGCAATGACTGGCCGCTGGGCTCAGAAACAAGGCCGAGGCATGGCTTCTAGAGAAGGAACTGACCTCAGGCAGCGCCTGCGTTTCCAGAGCTAGAGTGGGTGAGAGCCACCAGTTCCCATCAGGGAAACAAACTGCTTTCTCTTAGGTCATCCTGGACTTGCATTATGACAGAGACATTTCCCAGCCAAACAGGCCATAAATCATCCCAATTAGCAGAGATCTCTAGGACTGAGTGAATTCCTAGCGTGTTTTATCTCAGAAAGGACTGCATCATTGGGATCTTGTGTTGCCTATGTGATTCTTCTCAGAGGCAGGAATGTGGCTAAGCGTGGCCTCCAAGGGCTTCCACGGTGATCTGAAGGTCCCTTGGAAATGCCTGGGCTGGCAGGGAACCCACACGCTGCCATCAGTCACAGCCCAAATAAGTAACTCTACAGATGCCACCAAGAAATGGGAATGGGCTGGCTCTGCGTGATCACAGGCCCAGAGCATCAGGAAAAATGGCCTTCTGAAACTAAGGAAATGGACCCAAACTCTCCTGGGAATTCCTACTGTCCCCAGACTTGCAGCCCATGTTTCAGAACATGGAAGTCTCAGTCTTGACCCCAGACTGCTGTGCGGGTGTTGCGGGTGGGGTGGATGGGTGGGGGGCGATCGGGAGAGCGGAGGTGGCTCAGCCTCGCCCACTGGGCCTACCCCTCCCACACTTTCCGGGAGCTGAGGCTGGCTGCGGCCTCCTAGCAGAAGGCAAGGAACACCACGGGAATGCATCAAGACTGCAAACATAAAGAACCACGGACACGGATTTGATCCAAGTTCTATGAGGAGTGAACAACGACAACAAAAAACAAAAAGAAAAGAAAAGAAAAGAAAAGGAAAGAAAGAAGGAAAGAAAGAAAGTTAGCCCTTTGCGGCAAAGGGCATGCCGGGAGGGCGAGGGCCAGAGCCGCCTCCCGGGAGCATGCTGGGAGACGGACGCCAGCACACCTCCGCGGGCGCACTCCCCCGCCCGCCCCTCCCCACCCCACCCGGGGACCAGAGGGAAGTTTGTCCGAGGATGACTGCGGAGCAGGGGATGCCGTGGTTCTCTGCAGGCCCCCCACACTGTGGGGGTTTGAGTCAGCAAGTGGGGAGAACAGTCAAGAGGAGGAGATGGAGGCAGGAGGGAGACGGGGCCGACGACGGAGGCTGGAGGGGCCGGTGTGTTGGCGGAGGACCAGGGGAGAGTGGAGCGGAGCGGAGCGCCCTGTGGCTGCTAGCCCGAGGCGTTGATGTACAGCTGGCTCTTGAGAATGTAGTCGATGACCGGCTGGGACAGGTAATCCACGACGTGGCCGTCCCGTGCTGCATGGCCAGCCTGGG